TGGTCTGTACTTCACCAAACATGATGTCTACTGTGCCAATCCATCTCACCCAGGGCCACCCCTGCCCTCGCTGGCCCTCTGCTTCACCGAACATGATGTCATCCTCTAGCGATTGGTCTCTTCTGATGACATGTCCAAAGCAAGTGAGTCAGATAATGTTCTAGACATAGGGCAGAGGTCCCAAAACTTCTCAATTCATAGTGCCTCAGTAATTTTTTTTTCCACCGTATCTCAAGGCCAAATAAATATCTTAACAGCTCTGTCTGTTAAGGAACTAGGTATAAACCTTAATAAGTGTTACGTTCTACCAAAATATTGGCAGTTTGAAAAAATAATGCACATAAGTTGAAATATTTTAATTTCATTCTTGAATTACCATGATTACTTTTTAATGGTATGTGTGTGCCACTTGAGCCCTGCACAACTTCTCAAACCCTGGAATCAGATTGACAATGCTACCCTCATTTCCTATTCCATGTTGATTTTTCACTCAGTACTTTTCATCACAGCAATTTCCAGAAGCCCAGCTTCACAAAGATAGGATGTCATCAAAAAGAACAAAGTATGGTCTAATGTTGACACTGTGAGCTACCTCGAGGTAGAGTTCTCATGGTGCCCAACAGATATCCAGCTTTGCTGTTTCCTGCAGTGAGTTTTCTGTAGTGGCCCAGGGTGCCTCAGTACAGAGTTTGGCAACCACAACCTTAGGGACACATCCCTTCCCTCAGTAGCTGAGAGAATTGAGCTTGAGGATGGATGGGTCTTAAGGATAGATGGGCTTGGATAATGGATGGGCCTTGAGGATGGGTGGGTCTTGAGGATAGATGGGCCTTGATGATGGATGGGCTTTGATGATGATTGAGTCTTGAGGGTGGATGGATCTTGAGGATGGTTGGGTCTTGAAGATGGATGGGCCTTGACGATGGATGGGTCTTGAAGATGGATGAGTCTTGAGGATGGATGGTTCTTGATGATGGATAGCCCTTGATGATGGATGGATCTTGACGATGGATAGATCTTGACAATTGATAGGTCTTGACAGTTGATGAGTCTTGACGATGGATGATCCTTGAGGATGGCTGGCTCTTGAC